GGGGCCAGCCTATTTGCCGGTTCTCCGAACTACTCAAAATTTCCGCTACCAGTTCTCCAAAACCTGTCAGAACTGGCTGAATACCACCTCTGCATATAATGTAATCATTTGTGCACAACATATTTTAAATGTGTCTATTTTTTATGTTTGTGGGAGTTTCCAAAGCTATTTGTCCATATTTTCTGTTCCAAATTTTAATTGCAACGCAGACCAAATGCATAATATGAGGCCCATTGTAATCCTACTATTATGGCTTCATTCAGAAGCAGATCAAAGGGACAGAATTTGAACAATACCTGTTTTGGTATCTGTCTCTCATATCTAAAATATTAACATTCCTTTCACAGCATAGATGGTTTAATAAAGCTTCGCACACTGAAACAGCGGCTATATAAATTCAATGAAGTAGTAACTGCTCTCAAAGAGGGGAAGGCAGAAATGAGCAAGCAGGTCAAGGACCTTGAGATGTCCATTGATGCTCTGATGGCCAAGATCAAGGTAGGAGGACCCTTTAACCTATAGAAAAAAGAACCTTGAATCAGGATCTGGCAGACGTTTTTGATTCCAGTGGGCACGACCAAAAGAGGGACCATGGAAATATCTTTGGCAGTTGACAGACCCATATCTGTAGGATACCAAGTTAAATCCCAGCTGTAACATTTCAAATCCTAATTGTTGTTTTATTTTCTTTTGCTTATTTTGACAATCCAAAACTTTTAAAGCTGACAGAATTGGATATAAATGGAAATAAAGCTATCACTTGTTTTTTTTCCTACTCATGGCTTAGATGAGAATGCAGAGATTTTCCCCACATATAAGACTTTAAAACTTTAATCAACAATGTTCTAGCATTTCAAATTTCGACACATGCTGCTTTGCATGCTTTCAAGCATATATCTTCTACCAAAATGGCAAGTGACGTAAAATACGTTTTTTTAAGAAACATTTTTCAAGGACTGGACACAAGTTCCATTTTATCTCTTTACAGTTTGATGGAATAGACATAACACTTTTTAGTAAGAGAGCGAAGGTAGAGACTTGGGTTTACAGGTCTTAATTTTACCTATGCTACATTCAGCATTCATGATGAACAGTGTACATTACAGCAGGGGAGTTGCTTATAGGTGGAAGTATAAGGTTTATCAAATCAAAATAGGTGGTCAAAGCTAAGGAGATTCTTAATTTTGCTGCTTTGATGGAGGACAGAGTTCCCATATTCTTGCTGTGGTTCATTTTCTTTCTGTCTTGCTTTAAAACTACGTGATATATGCAAATTATTGTGATTGTTTTTACGACTTATTTTATAGGCCACTGTTATGCCTAGACAACAGATTCAGAAGGAATATGACGCCCTAGTTAAAAGCTCTGAGAAACTCTTGAGTGCCCTTCAGAAAAAGAAGCAGCAAGAGGAGGAAGCCGAAAGATTGAGGAAGATCCAGGAAGAAATGGAGAAAGAAAGGAAAAGGCGTGAAGAAGAGGAGCAGCATCGGAAGAAGGAAGAGGAAGAAAGGCGACTGTGAGTGTGAAATAATTTAGATGAAGAGTGGTAGAAGCAAAGGCAAATGTTAAGCCCCGGAGAAATCAGGAGATTCAGGCTCAATATTCTCAAATGAGTATAAAGATTTATTGCATGCTCTCTACGAGAATCTGGCCAACTAGTGGCCAAGGGAAATGAGTGTAAGATAAGAGAAGCTTTCCTGATATGCTGGATTTACATCTCTTGCGGGTATGCAGGGACTCATGACTTATGACACATTTGACCCCCCTCCCCTCAGGCTCAACTTGGTCATCTCCAATATCAACTTTTTAAACAAAAGCCATATTTTGGAAGTGACTGCTGTTTTCAGGCAGTTCCGAATTCTGTTACAAAGGGAAAACAATTAAATTTTGTAGGAAAGGGAGTGAAACAGTTTTAATGTTTGTCTGAATCAAGTGGAATTTCAATTTTTTCCATCTAGGAAATATGAGATGGAAGCAAAGAGAAAACTGGAAGAAGAAGAAAGGAAAAAGAGAGATAACGAAGAAAGAAGAATTCAGGTGAGGTTGAATAGGCGTTTCTTGTGCTACATTTTGCATACCTTGATCCACAGATATAATGGACTCTGCGCATGCATGAGGTGTGGTGACTTGGATTCCCATGTGGGTCTTCAAATCATCCTATTACGACAATGTTGTATTCTCCTCACAACTTTTTGGATAATCCAACTAGGCATACTGCACCAACTATTTTACTCCAGAGAAATCTGCGCTGCTGCTAATTTATTAGGGAGAGGAAAGTGGCAGTCTCTTTAGATTATATGTTATTAATTATAAATTATAAAATCTAAATGGGAATGGGGAAAATCCAATGCCTTTGGTGTATACTTAATCTTTAATACATGTAGTGCCAACAATGGAAGAGCATTAATTATCAACTGAACCTCTTTTCTTGCCCAGGGAGTTTTGTTGGTTTTATCAGTCGTATATGTCTTGGTAGAGAAACCCGTTTTGAAAACATGCTTTGCCAAGCTTGGGCAATAACTTTTCAGTAGACTTCCTTCCAGTCTCAGCAGCAAAAGCAGATGTTCCTTTCTGTAGAGTTTTCTCTCAGGCCATATTTAGTCAGCTTTTCTTTTGATGAATGCTACACTGAGTAATCTAAAACAGATCTGCATAAGAAAACATCCATAGCAGAAAGAAAGACTACATGGCAATATCACGATCAGAATAAATGAGGATGCCAGCTCATTGTTCTAGGAAATCTGCTAGGATAGGGGGAATGACTTTGTGGATTTGCTCTTCTAAAAAGAAAGTTCAAGTGAAAATTTCAGCATGTATCAGCAATAATGCATTGAAATACGATTGCTTGAGTCTTAAGCTGTCAGTTTCATAATTTCCATAAGATGTACAACGTTCATGTATTAGAAGTAGGAGCCTGCAGAACCCTATAATATTCTCTACAATTTTATCACTTAAGCCAATTAAATATACCATCTTAGAATGAATCTGTCTTTTGATACAATAAAATCAATCCCCTTATACTCCCATTGTGGAACTAGACCACAAAACATATTTCTGAGGCTAAGTGTGTGAGGTGGCCCTGAGGTAATGCCACAGCAGTGGTGGGTTTCAAAAATTGTTCGAACCTACTTTGTGGGTGTGGCCTCCTTTGTGAGAGTGGCTTGCCACCCATGTGACTGGATATGAAATTATGAATTAGTACTTAGGTCGGTCCAAGTAGCTATTCAGAAACTCTGGTATTGAAGCATGCAAGTCTTAAAGCTGTCAACTTACAAGAT